TAATTTCTGTTTCCTATTTTTTTAATCCATATTTGTCTTTGATCTGAAATATGAAAAAGAATACGTGTCTGGATAACAGTCAAAAATGAGAAGAAATATATGTATGGCTAGTGGGGGCAACCAGAAATTGTCGCTGGAGGGGAGCAGTTCCATTGCCTTATAGCTAAGGCTGCTGGGTCCCACGTGGCCAACCACAGTTGAATCCCAGCCCCAGCAGCTTAAAAAAATATGCTGGTGCATGTGCACACATTTCCCAAATCTCGACAAGATAGAGAAATGAAGGAGAAAGGATTGCTGTGTGGTCACAACCGGTGAGTGCTTTCTCTTTCTCTCTCTCTCTGTGTTTCTCTCTGCTGAATGCATGTGTCCTGCCATCCCCAAACCCTGGCAAGTAAAAAATAATTTCATAAATAAAAAACATATTGTTACTGGGTTCTTGAAGATGCACAGTGCTGGGTATTGCTTATAGCCAACTTCTGCCATCCTCACAGATTATCATTAACTCACCAGAGGAAAAGGCTGGAAGAGGCTAGAGAGGATCCTTATGTGTGATATATCCATGGTCATATAGTTATTGATGGCTAAGTGCTTCAGACCAGGTCTGATTATAAATCCACTCCTTATTTTCTTATTATTATCCTTTTAAATTATTATTTCTTTCCTCCACAAGAGAGCAAAACAGATAGAGACAGAAAAAGAGACAGGTACTTCCAATAGGGTCTTTGTGCCACAATCCACCCTCAGTCTCAGCCACCCAGTATCTCGGGCATGGGCATGCCCCCATGTTCAGGGAGATTTTTCCCACATGGATCAAGTTGCTTCTGCTCCTTTTTTTCTAGGGGATTGGTCAATGTTGCTTTTCTCTCTTATGCATTTTTCATTTCTCATTTTGCTTGTATGTCAGATAGAATAAGCTACAATAAGCTAGAATTAGTAAGTTGCTTTACCTTTGGTAGAGAGGCCAAAAAAAGAAATCATTGTTCTTAGTTCAAATGAATATGGAAAAGCAGGATATATTTTAAGCAGTGTTTTAAATCTGTCAAATATAGTAAGACTATAACAAGTGTTGATTTTTCTAACAGGAGTTTGAGTTATTCCAGCTGCCATTTGGGGTGGGGATATGGTTGAAAAAAGATCTGCATCTCGTAGAGTAAAATATTTTCAAAGCACTCTATTTTCATACTTAACACAAACCATTTTTCCATGAATCTAAAAAAATCTGACTTTATTTTGGAATGTGGATTGAGAATAGTAGTGCTGTTTTATTTGATAGCATCCTACTGAGTTGAGTTTTAAGGTCACCTACTTCACTGGTTTCATAATAAAAGGAAATGGGAATGGCAAGAATAAAATAAAATACTCAAGATGTATTTCTTGCCCCATTGCCAGAATTGTGTTAGTCACCAGTCTTCTACTTGATTTGGGAGAAGAGCTGGTGCACTGCTTCCAATGTGCACCCACATCTCTAGCACAGCTAAGTGTCAGCAAGAATATTCATGGCAGCATCTATCATTTACAGGGCACATTTGATATCACTAGAACTTTAAATCATTTTCTCTAGTCTTCCTACTAACCTGCAAGGCAGAGAGTATTTTCTTTTATTTATTTCCCAGTACCCACATAAAGTTAACTAACCTACAAGGTCATACAACTGGAGAAGGTGTGTGGTATTTAAGCACAGATGCTGTAATACATGGTCATAAATTTGAGATCCAACTCCTTCAATCTCTACTGTAAGTTTCTTTAACTCTCTAAATTTTTATTTCTTGATTATAAAAGTTATTTAGAAATGTGATTTTTATCTTTCCCATTAATTTGTGAAGATTGAGTGAGATATTCAATAGTAAAACTTGCAAAGTCTTTGGGTTTGGGCCAGGAGGTGGTATGGTGGTTAAGGTGCTAGATCCCACATAGCTGATTCTACAGCTCTAGCCCTGGACCTGATAGCTTGGAAAACATGCCAGGTGCATGTGTGTGCATGCCCAAAATCCTGAAAGGAGAACGGAGTCATTGCAGTGTGGTCATGCTCCCTGGGAGGTGATTTCCCACTTTCTCAGTCTCCCTGTCTTTCTCAGTGAATGCACACATCCTATGGCAAAAATCTCTTAAAAAAAAAAGTATTAGGTATGTGTGTGTGTGTGTGTGTGTGTGTGTGTATAAGGGTGCCCAAAAAAGTTTGAAGAAAAAGGTATTTACATGTAAATTTATTTGGGAACAAAATAATTACAATACATTTAGTTTTTTTAAAATGATACTCATTTTCCATGAACGTTTTAAAGATATGAGGTATATTTTGAAAATATTATGCACATTTTCAAATTTTTCATGAACTTTTTGGTTTCCTCATACACACATAAATTTATATACACACACACATATACATACATGCATGCAGGCCAAAAGCAAAGCCTGTATTTTTAGTTATGCTGGTTTTCAAGACTTTTGCTTCCTCTAAGGTATTATTCTGTCTTCACTTCTACACTTTTGCTTGTTTACCTGCCGTTTACCATCCAACTAACATTTCTTTTCTCAAACACAACATGATCAAAGCTAATTATCTTCTCATTCATTTTTCAAGTCTAAGGGTAGCTTCTCCAAAAATAGAATGGATGTACCTCTCTCAAAACAAAGCTATATCCACATAGAATTCAGGACAATGTTTCTCATGTATTATTTATTGCATTATAATACATAATATGCCTGCTTCTCTGCGGTCATCAATAATCAGTGAGGTTCTCAAGAATAACAACTATGTTCTTTTACTCCATATCCTGCAAGACCTAACAGGGCCTGAGCCATGAAACATATAGAAATGACAAATAAATCTAGACAGGGATAGACAGAGAAAATAGCTGAGCTACCAATGCTGCTGTCCATGTGAACATTCCAAATTGGAGTAAGCAGGAACTGAACATGAAGAAGAACCAGGGATTCAGGGAGCATGTTATGTTAGCAGCATTTTTTTTTTTGAGAGAGATTTTTGCTATAGGGCGTGTGCACTCGCCAGACAGAGACAGAGACAGAAAGTGAGAAATCACCCCCCAGGGGGGATGGCCATGCCACAATCCCTTCTCCTCCACTCTCCTCTCGGGATCTTGGGCACGCACGCACACGCGCCCAGCGTGAGTTTTAAGCCACCAAGTCCAGGACGCGAACTGCGGTCGACTACGTGGGAGTCCAGCGACATAGCCATTACGCTAACTGCTGGTTCCCAGCAGCATTTTTCTGTGCTCGCCACTCACCACCCCACGCCAGGCAAAGTATAAACTTGAAGACCAAATGCTGTAAAAGGCAACCTGTGAGTCTAAAGAATTCAAAACCTCTCATGCTTCCCCTCTCAAGCCTTTGAGAATCTAAGTTTACCTCAAAGTATGGACACTAGAACCTCCCTTCACTAGACTCGTAAATGGCAGGACTTCCACTGATTACTGAGTTCCTTGGAGGGCAGTGCTCACGAGCAGAGCTTCTCAACCTTTGTGGACCATCTTTGTGACCAGCAATGTACATTCTGATCCAGTTGTTCTGAGAATGCATAGTTTTAATTAGATTTACTCTATTATGGAAAGGGATTTCACAACAATATGGCCTATTTTAGTCAAGGTTCTCCAGAAAAAACATAATCAATAAGATATCTATGTATCTAAATAAATCTACCTATTTATATAAGTAGATAGATACAGATTTATCAGGGGAATTGGCTAACATGATTACGAAGGCTGAAGAGTCCCACTGTATGCCATCTGCAAGCTGGAGAATCAGGGAAAATGGTAGCATTGCTAGGTTCAAGTCCAAAGCCTACCAACCATATAAGGGCACTAATCCCATTCAGGAAGGCTCTGTCTTCATAATTTGATCACTTTCAAATGGCCTCACATCCCAATACCATCTCATTGGTAATTAGATTTTCAACATATGAATTTGGTGAGGATATAAACATTCAGACCATAGCAAAGTATTCAAAATTTTTCACAATACTATGACAAATTAAGTTTAGATCTATTCAATATAGTGATAAAAATAGATGGTCTAGCAGGAAAAATTGTTTGATTTACAAAGAAACATTTTGATACTTCCTCAAAGACTTCCTAATAGCAAAACATTTGCATCTGCTAATGACATGTTCTGCCCCTTCTCTGAGCTGTCACCTCTTGAGGATGGAGCATTAAGGCTAGTGATTAACTGCTCAGGCAAAGCATGTAAAGCACCTGGGCACAAAAGGGTTAATGAGCAGGAGTAGGGTAGGTGGGGTTACAAACTAGGAACACATGCCCTGCAAGTTAGATAGCTTTCTTTCTGTTTAATTGCCCTTAAAACACACATGCTCTCACATAACACGGAAGGTGAGAGCTGAATGAAGTTTCTGGGTAATGGCTTGAAATGTTTTCCTTATGAGAAGTGGTGTTGAGTTACAGCATGCAGACTGAGAACTGGGAGGAGAAAAGCAGCAGCCCCAGTCCAGCCCCCACCTTTTCGTGGGCTTGTAGGAAGGTGGACATGGGCTCACTGAGACAAGACAAGTGATATGTCGAACTGTCCTGTGGCTGGAAACGACTGCTCCCAGAGTGACCTAAGGCTGGTGTTTACAAGGGTTTAGCCAGGGCCAGCCAAGCAGGCACAGATGCTCTGCTGTGAAATGCCACGCAGGCAGAGACTGACAAGCGGTAGGAGCTGAGCTTTCCCCTTGGACTGCTGTTTCCTGCTGTGTTCAGGGGAGGGGGCGCTAACTGGCCACTCTTCTGCTGCTGCTGCTGCTGCTGCTGCAACTTCAGCTCCCTCTCCACTCAAGGTAAGCAGGCTCAAAGGGAGGGCAGGCTGCAAAGGAAGCCTTTGTACCATGAACAAGATCCGAAAGTTTTTCCGAGGAAGTGGGCGAGTCTTGGCATTTATATTTGTAGCTTCTGTCATCTGGCTGCTCTTTGACATGGCAGCTCTCCGCCTCTCATCCTCCTTGCCCACTCTTCTGCTGCTGCTGCTGCGGCTGCTGCAACTTCAGCTCCCTCTCCACTCAAGGTAAGCAGGCTCAAAGGGAGGGCAGGCTGCAAAGGAAGCCTTTGTACCATGAACAAGATCCGAAAGTTTTTCCGAGGAAGTGGGCGAGTCTTGGCATTTATATTTGTAGCTTCTGTCATCTGGCTGCTCTTTGACATGGCAGCTCTCCGCCTCTCATTCAGTGAGATCAACACTCGGATCCTCAAGGAAGACATCGTGAGGAGGGAGCAGATAGGATTCAAAGTTCAGCCAGACCAGATGAAGATCCTTTACAGTAGTGAGAAAGAGATAAAACCTCCACTGAGGGGACGTGGGAAGGGGGCATGGGACAAAGAGAACTTTAGGAAGATTGAGGAGAATATGCCCAAAGCCATAGATGATTTGGACCAAACCCTGAAGAAAAGAAAAATGCCGAAAGCCCCAGGGCGGGGCAAGGTTGTGCCTTTGTGGCATCCTGTGCATCTGCAGACCCTCCCTGTGACTGTGACCAAGCCAGAGAACAAGGGGAGAGACATCAAACCCAAAGCCTCCTCTCATCAGGTGACATCAAGGCAAACAAAAAATCAGAGAGCTCAGAAAACCCCAATCATAACAGTGGGAAGAACTCCAGTGGTCAAAATATCAGTACACACAGGGCCTCTCAGTATAAAACAAAAGACCCCAAAGAGTCATAGTCTCAGAAGTGACACATCAAAACAAGCAAGGGAAAGGGACCTGAATGTGACCGTCAGTCTTAATACTGATAGATCAAAGCACCAATCACAGACAATGACAAATGAGAGGACACACCCTGCCAGCTCACCAATGCCAAAATCTGGGAAAGCCTTCGCCTTAAATAAAACTGAGACTCAGAGTAAAGAACTAAATGCAAATAAACAAAATGCTAATAATGGGCTTCCTTTTTCCAAGTTCACTGCCAATTCAAATCATTTAAAAAAGCAATCTATTAATGAGACACAGTTGGGAGGCTTGCCAAAAGATGGTGGAGCTAATGTGGCTCATGGAAAAAAACTCAATTTATCTGAAAGTCATGTTGTGATAATAACCAAGGAAGAGGAACTAAAGACAGACACCAAAGAGATCCCCAATTATAAAACCCAAACTATATTTCCTAAACTATTGGATGAAAGCCAAGGTAAACACATTTCCAAGAATAAAAGTAAGGCATCTTTCTCTTCATTTGCTCTACAAAAAGTAACAGTATCTCAAACCAACCAACCCTTAGCTGGTGGCTTAGAGTTAGCAAGAATTAACTTGACTGCCGCAGACCAGCCTGCAGAATACAACCAAAGTCATATAAAAGCCCTTTCACCTGAAGACCATGGAATGCACCATGTATTAAAAATTGATGTGACACTTTCTCCAAGGGACCCTAAAGCTCCAGGTCAGTTTGGACGTCCTGTAGTTGTTCCCCATGGAAAGGAGAAGGAGGCAGAAAGACGATGGAAAGAAGGAAACTTCAATGTCTATCTTAGTGATTTGATCCCAGTGGACAGAGCCATTGAAGACACAAGACCTGCTGGGTAAGACCAATTTCCCTCCTCTTTCCTCAGTTCAAAGGCTCTTTGTTAGACTGAGATTTATTTATAGTTAATTTTGTATATTTCTTGGTCACCTAGAGAATTAAAGTAACATTAATCATTAGGTGCATTCAAATGTTTTACCATCTATAGAGAGAAAAATTCTGATCCTGGCATATGTACTGTCTTCTCTTTTTATACTTATTTCTCTGAGACTTTGGCCCTTATGCTTACTTTCTCATGTTTCACTCCCTTCCCTCTGTAGGAAAGCTATTCAAATGATTAGATGAACTCAATTAATACTAAAGTATATATGACTGGTACTTAAAGTATAAATTCCATTATAATAGTGACAATAAAGTGAATTCTCAATTTTGGAACTTTTAACTTTTAGCAAGAAGAGGTGTCTTCTAGGCCTCCCTGGAATCATATCTTAACCAGCAGAATTTTGCTTAATTATGAGTAATGATAACTATAATATCAAGGGACTAAGTGACTTTAATCCCTAAAATTCAATGTCCTTTGCAGGTAAAGATGGTAGATATTTTAGGAGTTCAGTTACTCCAGAATAAAAATGTTGGGGAAAAAAAAAAGTTAGTCAATGTCTAGCAAACACCTGAAAGAAATGCAAGAGCATAATAATAATCACTTATATTTGCAGTTTCACCATTTGCAAAGAGCCTGCATATATATAAATGAACTCCTCAAGCACCCTAGAAAGTAAAAGGCAGGCATTTTGATTTAAATTAATGAAGGAGGGTGCTCAGAAGTTATGTCACTTTCCCAAGGTACTCAGTGGGCCTTCATGAACCAGTTCTTCAAATAATTATATTCCTATAACTACATCATCAGAAAGTGAATCAAATCACCAATATTTTATCTGATTTAAATATAGTTAGGTTCTTGGCTCTTTTGGTTCACTCTAAGTGAGAGTACTTTGTAGTATTATATTCACCATCCATTAATTGGTAATATAACTCCAAGTATGTCTTCATGTTCACTTCTCTGAGCCAAACAATGTTTGCCTATCTTGGTAGAAAGGGTTATATTTTGCTCAGTATTTTTAGAGGGAAGGCAGCTATAAGGGTTCATCTGAACCCTTTTCCATACAAGTAATAGAGAGGCCTCTTTATTGTGATGGTAGATACAATGAGAACATATTCAATCTCTTAAACATTGGTAAATGACTATGGGCCATATGTTAACTGTGTGATAATGCACTATGCCATCCCTATTCCTCACCCCAGTGATATTTGTGACCATGAGGAGAACACAAAACTAGTCAAAGATAAACTGAGCCCTGGAAAGTTAAATTGTCTTAGATCATAGTTAGGCATTGTAGAAAAATGGTTAAACTCCGTGCTCAAAATTATGCTGCTTTATTTCCTATCTCTTACTGATCACTGCATAAAAAGGATCCTAATAATTATACTGAACCAGCTCTAATCTGGAATCCTGTATATCACAGGATCGCACGTGCTGGCTCTGAACACAGAATGCAGGGGGATGAAGTAGTCCTTAAAGCAGCTTCATTTTAACAGGCTCTTAGTGGCGTGGCAGACTGCAATAACATTTGGGGAGAAAGTAGACACCGCACAGAAGCACAAGCTCCAGTTTCAGCCCAGAGAAAGGGCAAGTGGTGTGTGAGGGTCAAAGGCAAGTAACAGAGATGTTACCATCAATGCAATTTATTAGAAGTGTGATGGCTCCCGGTACTTGTTAGTTTCTGTAGTTAGGACTGTGGAAGTTAAGCAATGCAGTCAAGGGAAGTTCTAGTCAGCCTCTGTGTTCTGAAGGAGGCTGTCCTAACTGTTGGAGAAAGTGACACGTGTGCTTGCCACGATGACTCAGAGAGCATGTGGCCAGCTCCCTCCCTCTTATCACACAACCCACCTTGACTAAATATAGGTGCGCTCTCTGCTCGCCTACTACTCTGCTCCGCCAGGAAGACAGGGTCATAGTCTATCCAGCAGAAAGCAGAGTCAGTCCCCCCAAAGTATTTACAGCTCTTTTATACCTCTCACCCATGAAAGAAGATAAGTCATTTTTCTTTTACCCAATCTTACTCCAAATATATGCAAATTATATATTCATGTGGATAAAGGTTAGAAGAAAAGACAGAAGAAAAACATTTGATTTGTCCATTAGCAAGACTTGAAGTGCAGTTTTTTTACTTTGATTTTTATCTACATTAGGCTTTGCTCAAAAAGTATTAGAAATTATTTATAAGATACACATGATGAAATTTTTTTATATAATAACTTTTAAAAATCAGCCTAAGAGAGAAATATAAAATATAATAAGAATACGTGAGTGTGTGAGAGAGAAAGAGAGCGAAAGATCTGTAAGAATGCAGGAGAGTTGACTTGAAAATAAGCTACTGCAACTTTTTCTTTCTTTTTTTTTTTTTTTTTTGCTATAGGGTGCATGCACTTGTGAGACAGAGAGAGCAAGAGTGAGAGAGAGAGAGAGGAAACTGAGAAATTATAAAATCACACCCAGTGGGAATGGCCACATTGCAATCCCTTCTCTTCCAGTCCCCTCTCAGGATTTTGGGCATGCATGCTCATGTATCCAGCATGATTTTGAAGCCACTGTTTCTGGGATCCAAAGCATGTGGCTGGCCACGTAGAATTCAGCACCTTCACCTCCATACCACCTGCTGGCCCACCCACTGAAACTTTTAAATTTCAAGAGCTTGAGGGAATATCTCCCTTATTGCCCTTTATATTTCTCCAAAATCCACCATTGTATATTAATCAACACAGTAACTGACATATAGTAACTGTTCATTGAATACAGATTGAACAAAAAGAATAAAAACCATAGATTTTCTGTATACGCTTGAATTTAATTTCCCTCAGTAAACCTAATTACTAGTGCTATTTTATCTTTATTATGTTTATTTATTTATTACTTCCATGAGTAGGAGAGAGAGAGACAGCACCCCTAACAGGGTATGGATGCTACTCTCCACCCCTGGCCTCTACCAGCCAGGATTGCGGGTGCAGGCATATCCCACATACAGAGAGGTTTCTGGACACAAACCCGGAGCCTTCTCATGTGGGTCAGCTTCCAGACCATGACGTTTTCCCAATTTACCATGGACCATCCAGTCCCATTAATGTCTTCCTAAGGATGAATGAAGTAATATGCTAAGATGAGGTTAGTATTAAGAAGCAGAATTCCCAAGACAACTGCCCCTACACCAGTTCTGAAATAGACTTTCTTTTCCAAACCTGTTCTTTTCTCTCTGGAGTCCAAAGAACTATTTCTAAGACTTTGAGACAGCCTCATGGTCTTTTCCAAAAGCTCAGTAATGCCTTTCTGTTATCAGCAGAGCTGACCCTGTCCTTATCAGTGCTGCCTGTCTGTCCTCTTTGCCAGGTAGCTGTAGCACATAACATTTTCTCCAAAGTGGGCCCTCAGCAGGAGGACAGTGAGTCTCAGGACCCTCTCTACACATTCCGCCCATTACCATCCACTAATGTCTTCATTAACTGGTCTCTTCCACAGCTTCCCTCTACTTTCACCTTGCATGGTCCTCACCACTTTCTGCTTATGTCTTAACCTGACATTGCTCAGAATCCAACTGTCACCTCCTCTACCTGGACCATGACACAACTGTGACCTCTAAATTCCAATGACCCTTGATGCACACAGCCCACACTGAAACTGAAACATTCTTTATTGCGTGCTTCTTACTAAGTGGAATCTTGAGCATCTGTTTCCCCTTCTCACTGAAATCATAAGCTTCCGAAGGAAACTCTGTTTAACCTTTCTTCCCCTCACACTGAGCACAGTGCTGAGCTCTCAGGATGTGAATGTAAAATGCAAGATTTTCTGAAATGATTTTTCAAAATTGATATTACTTTAAAAGTAAATGTAAGGGGGAACCAGCAGTTAGCGTAATGGCTGTGTCACTGAACTCCCACATAGTCGAGCACAGTTTGTGTCCCGGACCCGGTGGCTTAAAACTCACGCCAGGTGCGTGTGCATGCGTGCCCAAGATCCCGAGAGGAGAATGGAGGAGAAGGGATTGCAGCGTGACCATCCTCCCTGGGGGGGGATTTCTTGCTTTCTGTCTCTATGTCTCTGTCTGGCTGGCGAGCGCTCGCGCCCTATAGTGAAAACCTCTCCAAAAAAAAAGTAAATGTAAGGAAGTAATTCAAATAAAACCTGCAATAAGTCTTTTCACAAATTAAGAATGGCTTCCTAATTTTTGATTTGAATATATTAGACATATCAGAATTTGATTTAAGGCAAATACATCTTTTTAACACTGTGATTGACTCCTTAATCATTTTGTTTAGGTTTTGTTGTTGTTGTTTTGTTTTTTAACTTTACTGTTCTGACTTTCAAAGAAAGAAAATCTCTCATTATTTACAATAATGCTTTATCTTGGTGAATAAAATACGATCTCATTTTTGCCTAGGATTTTTGCTTCTACAATATGTTTACAATGCTTTGATGACAGTAATTTTAAAGTGCCATATTTAATCTTTATAGTAAAAAAATAATCCTTACAGTTCTTGCTCTTAATTTTTGAAGTTTGTTTCCAACAGAAATAATTGACAAGTACAAAGCACACATGTACACACACACACATGCACACACAGGTTTTGCTGAAACATGGTCTTACCTATTGAAAATGCAGAGCAATTCCATTTGGAGAAGTCTTTTGGCCTGCAAGTATAGTTAAGCTAGAGCTCCAAAAAGGAATTTATTTTAAGAGTACACTTCCTGAATCTGAATTTAGAGAAAAGTGACTCAAAAGAATTTTTGCTGCTAGTGTTTAGATTTGAAAGTACAAAAAGAAGTATGGAGTGCTGGTCTACCACTGCTATGTCATCGTAGCTCTATTCTATTGTGTGATTTAATGCTTCACTTTCCCTATCGAACTCTGGCAAGACCCTCAATAAATTAAATTAAAATGGGTATTTATTCTCTTAGCTCAGATTCAGAACAGTCACTAGTGATTTGATTCCTTCCTACAGAGCTAA